TGTTTTCTACACACAAGTTGCATCTCTGGGTGTAGGGATGGGGGTTCTTAGGCTGTCCGGCAAGTGCGTGTTTGTTGAACGGAGAGAAATAGAATAAATGGTCTTAAACAGGAGACCACTGGTAGCAAATACATGAATCAGGGGAAGGCTCACGCTGTAGCCTTGGTCCTTGTGTCTTTAGAACGATGGTTCTCAGGTTTGCCTGGGAACCACATTGGAGTCACCTGGGCCACAGCTCAGACCAATTGCATCAGAATCTCTGGGGGAGGGTCCCCAGCATCTTTAAGTGTTAAAAATCCGCAGGTGATTTCAAGATGCAGCCAGGTCTGGGAATTCGTGCTTTGGAAGAATAGCAGTTAAGAGATTTTTCAAGGAGGTTTCCTTTGAAGAGTGTAGAGGCCCCAGTATCCGTCCCACACCCTCCTGAGTGTAGTGGGTAGAATCAGGCTTGAGGTGGCTTCTGGTTTGGGTTGAATTGATTGCACCCCAGCTCCAGAGATGGGTATTGCCTGATCTAAGCCCATCGAGGTAATCCTAGCTCACAGTGACTCACCGAGGCTTAGGTCTGGCCTAAGCCTACCGGCCACAGAAACTAGTTCTGGAGTGGTCCAATTAGCTCCAAGTTCAGGACTCTCCCTCTGTGGTAAGGGAGGGGAAACCCTCTCTCAGGGCAGGTGAATGGGAAGCAACACGAACACCAGGGTCCCTGCTTAGGATGGTGACCGTGTGGGTGGCAGGACGGAAGCACAGAGGACCTGACACCCTGCTGACATCACTGAGCAGCCTGCCCTCCTCGGCCACAGCTGTTACCTGTGTGTCCCCTTTATTAAGCCCAATCTGAGTTGGAGTTCCTGTTACTGCCAGTGAGAGCCCTATTTCATAAAAAGGAGTCTAAAGCCAGGTAAGAAGAGCTGGGTAATGACTGGGCAAAGGCTTCCCTGGGAAGCACTCTGAACCGGAGCCATCTCTTGACAAATGGTTTGGTGCCACCTGGCATGCATCAGGTAACACGAGTCCATGGAGACACATCCAATTCTTCCAGTCTCGTCTGGGCCAAGGAAAAAGTCTCATCTTGGTGCTAGTGTGCCCTGGGCCTCTCTGATTTTCCTTTTTAACAAACAGAGCAAGTCTCAGGCTCACAGCCCTCAGCAAGCAATGACAGGTGGCACATTTTTAGTCTAACGTTTTGTATGTGTTTTTAGGGATGCCTTCATTAATGGCAAATTATGCTGGTTGTTCTTTTTTTGTAGAGATAGTTTTCCCTTTCAAATAGGGGAGTTGAAACGTACTAAGTATGTAAAGCAGCTGTTAGGCAGATGTGGCAAAAGTGACAAAGATGGCAATGTGAACGAGTATAGTTTGGGAAACGCTGTGCCAGGGAAACTATGATGTGTTGGTTTATAAACCAAGGCTCACATGTCTTTGCATTCATAGCAGGGAAAACCTTTCTTAAGAGGGTAGTCTTCAGCCAAGATCAAGGCTGGATGGTGTGGCTGGGAATTCCAGGGGCTGTGGACTCAGATATCCTGGGTCCAAGTCAGCATCTGCCCTCTGCCAGCTGGAATCTTGGGACAAGTTGGCTTCTCTGAAACTTCATGTCCTGAAACCCGAAACCTAGTACTAATACTCCCTTTAGAGGACTTTTTTGTGTGTGTATGTGGGGTGGTTTAGGGAATTGGGGCAGGACCGTTTTGAGGACTCAAATTATCTTGGAATCTAATGCCCTACGACTAGTCCCAGGAACACTTCTGTGATGTTTGGAAAGTTCTTGAGTAAATATGTACTCAGGATGTGTGCTGAGCCCCAGGCATTTTCAGGAACAGTGTTGAACTCCTAGGAAAGGTGTAATCTCACCCCTGGCCTGGAGGTCCCCTCCTTGGAGGGCTCTGTGTTTAAGCCTCTCTCGGAGTCCTCTTCCCGGGGAAGCCCGTAGAGCTGTGTGCCAGCAGTTGCAGCCACCAGCAAGTCGTGCAGTGATCTTTTCGCCAATGGTCCCCAAGGCAAGGTCTTTTAATTTTTAGATTCCCAGATGGCTGCCCCACGTACACAGCTGTCACATTCTGCTCCATTCTAGATAGCAGCCAGCATGGCGCTGACATCAAATGCATTGGAAAAGCCCTTTTATTTCTAGCCTCTTGCTCTATCAGTTTCCAAAAGTTGAACAATTTGCTTATTAGGCTATCCATTTTGCTTCACTTGGTAATAAGACATTCATAAAGGTACAGCAAGATTTTTATTGCAAAAACCAGTTTAGGTTTAAATGGCCTTGCACCTTTCTAAGGTATACTGATAACATTGTACATAAGCTGGAAAAAACCAGAGAATGTGTCCTGGAAATGACTATGGACTTTCCCTCCTGGTCCTCTTAGCTGGAGCACTTTGAAATCATGACTTAAGGATTTTCAGGATATATGCAGTTTTTGCCTTATATGCCAATTTTTGAACACAACTCCATTAAGCTGTAATTCCACTAGGATTTGTTATAGTGAATGTTAAAGTTAACTTTTTACAGTGGAGTAAGTTGATGGGAAGTAGCAGGATGCAAAGAATTACCAAACGGTGATCCTCCTTTGGTGCAAGTTTGGATCCATTTTTGAGCTAGCCTTCTAGTAGTAGTTGGCAGAAAACACCTTTTTTTTCTAACTTGACTGTCTAGTTTCTCTCAGCTGAGTCTTTCCCCAGACCACGTACATCATGGTGGCCAGTTAATAACTGGTATGTTGGAATGCATTTCAGAATGGTGAGAGCAGCCTCTTCCTTTTGTTTTCAGTCCTCTGGGGGTTTAGGAGTTTGAAATGTTCCTACATGACACTTTGGTGAAACTTGCCTGCTACTGGTGCCAGGCCAGTGAGCTACAGGGTGGGTTGGCAGTTAAGGGTCACAATGGGTTGAAAAGATCATTGCCTAAGGGAGGGGCAGAAGGCTGACCGGCTGCTCTGTGGAATCCAGATTCAGTATGCTCTACCTAATCTCGCTGGTGAAAAGTAGATTTTTCCATCACTCAAGCTAAGTGGTTCTCAAGCTCGCGTGGCACAGAATCACCTAGAGGTGATTTGGGAGCCCCATCTCAAGGTTTGGGTGCTGGTAGCCCACAACGTGGGCAACCACCCCTCTATATGGCAGTACTCACTTGGCAAAAGCAAGTTGAATGGCTCCCAGGGAAGTGTTTCGGGCGGGGCACGCCCAGTCTTTGATGGAGCATTTTCAAGTCTGGCACTTACTTTGTTCCCTCCTGAAGTACTGTGCGTCTTCCCAAGTGGGTAGGCATTTCGAGCAGACAGAAACACAGCCACAGGGGAGAAAAGGAGGCAGATCCTTTTTTACTTGGAATTTAAGAGGGGACAGAGAGCTGTTTGCTGAAGACCCTGTACTGCTCAATGACAGGGAACCAAAGATGGGACAAGAAAATGCTTCAACGTGCTGAAAAGGGAGAGAAACCATAGTGCTACTCAATCTGAGTCTGAAACTCATGGCCACAGGAAATTTAAAGGGCAAAAAGTTCTCCGGAATTTTGTTTTTCCTTGTTAAAAAGCAAATCTACAGAATTATTCAATCTACAGTTATAGACCTTCTCTAATTAGAAGATGGCAGAATGCCAGTTTTTATTTCCAGATTATTCCAAAAGCAAACAGTAGCAACAGCATTTTTTAAAAATGGCTTTTATTGAGACACTTTTAGGGCTTCTGCAACATTTCTACTTGGAAATCTTCTTTATTTCCAGTTCTTAGGTGGCTAAACTCTTCTCATATGCCAACAAGGCCCATTCACACCACCTCAGCAAGGAAGCATACTCATCTATCTTTGTTCAAATGTCCAACCTGGAACGTCCCCCCACCCCGCCCCACTATTTTGCACAAGTCTCACTAGTACTCCATGTAGGCCTCATAAGCCCAGGCTAAGTTCTTCCTGCCTTTTAATTAGGCAGTCTAATTTCAAAACAAATGTGAGATGGCTTACATGCAGCTGGTATTACTGTCCTCAAGGGAAAGAGACCTTCTCAATGCCGGTTTTTCTGATTGGGTAATCTGTAGCATCTTAACTTGGGGACATCCTGTCCTAAATGCTAGCTGGTGTCCACAGAATTTATAATCTGTATAATGGAGTTAAAGTAGCTCCGTGCCAGCCCCGAACACCCTAAAGGTTCTAGTCTATTTTTGTGCTTTCTCCTGTACTGTTTTTTGAGAGGCACGACTTTACATCTTAGGGGAACGTCGGTCAAACCTTTATTCCTGGGTAGCAAAAGCATTAACAAGATGAACCTTCTGGGAAGAGTCTCAGAAATCATGGAAACTAGCCACTTCAGAACTCTTTAGGCCAATGTCCCTGAGAGGTGACTGACCAGCCTCTGCATGGATTGGAGCATCCATCCCATCACTGTCCTAACTGCCAAAAACATCGGCCTAATTCTGCCTCTTTGTAACTTTCTGTTTAGTACGGGGTTGGCTCTTGGGAATCCATGCATAGTAAACGCACCATACCAGCTCCTTGTATCTTGACAGCCCTCCAAACGTGTGATCTCCAAAGCCTTTTTCATAACAGCAAGATGGTCCAGAGAGTTGTAACAAAAGCAGAGAATAGCTGACTGTTTAGTACAATTGTTCCCATTATAAGGTGAAAACTAACATTTACTTCATTTAGACAAAAGAACACCAGGGCATTAAGATTCTGCTTGCAAATGAATGCTAACTTATGTTTACATCCTTTTATCATCGATACATTTACATATATAAGCAGGCTCTGCTCCTTAACAAAAGGGGAACTGAAAAAACTCGAGGATGTTTATTTTAGCAAGTAAAAAGGGAAAAAGACAAAAACCAAACCAAAGAATTTGCAACAGGTGCCTTGAGAGAAAGCATTCTTTATGGGAAGGGCAGCAAACCTTGGTCTTCCACAAGTTTCCTCAGTGGCTGTACCTCCATCTCTGATGAAAGAGAGCCATGGCATCAACTGGCACAAGACATAATGGACACACAGGACTGTAATGTGTAATAAAGCAAATATTTACATTAAGCACAATACAGCAATTTATTTAGATGCTTAAAATGAATACAAAGGGAAATAAAGATCACAAAATTATACATACTACAACAGTGTGTCATATATTAGATGGTATAAATGACTACACCAGGGTGGTGTTTAACTAAAGATAAAACTAAATATCCAAAAGGCAGCAGTCATTGGCTTGCTGCTTCAACACAACACACTTTCATACAGATCTAAAAGGTGTCAAAATTAGTAGCTGCAAAGTCAATTCTTGCATGTGATTTTAGCTTAAAAGATTTCAGGAAACATCTGAAATACCAGTTTTTGTTTTTGTCAGCTGTAATGTCAAGGATATTCAGAACAAGAAAAATTCTATAATACAAGAGAGTCCAGATATATATCTTATGTGGCTGGCCTCTGTTGCGAGATTGTACAAGGTTATGTGCAAAAACTAAGTCTGTCCCGAAGTCCACACTAGCGTAGTTTCAGGCTTTTGCTAGGTCAACTAGATACAGCGCTTATTAACACAGCAAGGGCAACACTAAAAAAAGAAACAAATCTATGATGGGTACACAATAACAATATCAGAAGCATCACTTGAATAGGTCTAAAAGACTGTACAAATATACATTTCAACTATTCAGAATGAATACATGAAAAAAAAATCAATTTCCCCAGAGTCTACTATACACATTGGACTGGTAGCTTGTATGTTGGCCCTACACTACCGTTTGAATCAAGAGAACGCTTCTCAAGGACATCCAACCAAACATTTTACAGAGGGAAAGAAATGTTGAGAAGGCAGATAAAATAAACCTCTGCTTTTTCTCGTGTGCGTTCATGAGCCCCCAACTTACTGGTTTTTCACATTTAGTTACTGTGCCTGTCACAGCACGTTCTAAAGCAAGATCAGCCAATCATGTGTCATAGACTTAGAAATAACCACGTGGATCGGAGTGGCCACATGTCCCCACAGCCTGATGACCCAGCACTCAAAAGGCGGTACCAGTTAGAATACAGCTTTGCAGTCATACTGAAAGGAGCACAGAGTTCCAGGCTGCAGCATCTGTCACCAATGCCAGAGAAGCTGGCCCTTACGCCTGCTGGCTGCTCAGTTTAACTCCGGTCAAGCTGCCGTGCATGGGCTCGGCTACTCCATCAGTCATGTTGTCAAACTGCTCCCCGTCCTCACTGTCAATTGTGCTATTCTGCCACTCAATCTGTGGGCTGGATAAGCGCTCATCATTTTCAGTTGCATTCTTCCATTGTGACTGGTCCTTGGACCAAAACCCTTCAACTTTTCCATAGGAACTATTCTTCCATTTCAACTGCTCTCTGTCACCTTGCATGGTAGCCTTTTTTTTGGCAGCTGGCTTACTGCTCCTTGCATCTTCACTCTGGGAAGACTCATCGGACCAGGTTCCTGTTTTCATCTCGCATGTGTTGTCCTCGAAGTCTGACACCTGTTGGGAACCAGGGCCGCTCTCAGATGGAGAAGCAGCATCTTTCCACTCAACAACGTCATCTTGGTCCACCTCACTATCAGAGGCGTCATGCATTAGTTTGGTTGGTTCCTCAGTCAAATGAATAGTTTCATATTTTGAACCATCCTCCTCTTTTTGGTCTAGCTTCTCAGACGCTAAAGCATCCTCAGAAATTTTCTGTATGTGTTCCTCTGGGTTATCATTAGGGATTTTAGGCTCAACTTCAAAAACAGGGTCAAAAGGGCTATCACTTCCATTGGATTCTTCTTCCAAATTTTCAAAACTGTCTGAGGAACTGTCATCTTCCTTCCCCAGGTTGAGCTTTTTGTCAGCAGTTTTACTAGCATTGACTCTGGAATCCTTCTCATCATGATTTTCAAATAGCCACTCAGCATCAAAATCCATCTCATGCTTAACTTTGTTTAATTCTTTCATGTTGAAGCCCAGTAACACACCAGGCTTATACTTTTCACAGTCTCGGACACACTTCTTCCTCTTGTTACTAAAATGGGAAGCAATGTCACTCTTCCACAACCATAAACTGGCCGCCAGCTTCTCAATTTCTCTCCTGGTGGGATAGGGCTGCTTGTTGAAATATTTTGTTAGGAAGCTTTTCCTGGCTTCATAGGAATCATCTTCATGACCCTTGGGGTCCAAAGCTAAAACAACAGGCTCCTCAGGCTTCTCTTCAAAGAAGCTGGGAGAATCGCTGTCATCATCTAACTTTCGCTTTTTCAGCAAGGGAAATTCCATTTGCTCATAAGTGCGCTTCACAGGTGCCAGGCCTGGTGATTGGTTAAGCCGAGAGGGTGCATTTGTCTTATCTTGGCCATTCTGGGTCTTTCCAACACCCCTGCAGTGGACCAGATGCAGAGTGATAGTCGAGGCGGTCATGTTGCTAGTATACACGCCAAGGCAGTGGATGCATTTGTAAGTGAGCTTTTTCTCCACTGGGTGAACCGTCTGAATAACCTGGTGCCTCTCTCTTAAGTGATGTGCAAGTGCATCAGATATGGGTCCTTTTAGGATTGAAAAGCAAAGAGGGCAAAGGGTTTTCCCGACATCCTTTTTATAGGGCACTGCAGCTTGAGGTGAACTTTTCACAGGAACATCTGCCTTTTCCTGAACTTTTGGCTGAGGCTTTGGAGGGACTGGAGGGTTATTCTGGGCATGGTAAGCAACAGATTCAGCAGGGGCATCTCTCAGGTTGTACGTAGTTACAAGGAGATGGATGTTAGTGTGACTGCCCTGCTGCAATGTCAAATCAAAACTCAGAGTAGAGTCTGTTTTAGGTCCCATCTCTTCGTCAATGTGAACCATCCGCATGTGTGCCGCCATCTTTTCCACATCATTGAAAGTTGAACGGCAATATGGACAAGACAGACCATGAATTAACATGTGGTTGAGCAGAGTGTCTGTGGGCAAATAGCGATTACAGTAGAGGCATTTGCTAGTAAAATTGTGTATTTTCATAATGTAGTTGGCTACTGCTGGGACTTTCTCAGCTTTATGTTCTTTTTCGAAGTGCACACTATAGACATTTTCAGGAAAAAGCTCATTACAGATTGTACATATTTTCCACTTCTGAGTTGAGGAAGTATTGGGTGGGGGAGGGCCAGTGGCAGCTGCAGTAGGTTTGGAACTGGACTGACCTAATACTCTGGATGCCTGTGACTGGGAGAGGGAAGGAGACTTTAACTGGCCCGATGAGAGAGACGAAGCATTTGGAGACTGCAGCGAGTATCTTGCTGGTGCCTGGGTCCTCTGCTCTGACCCAAGTCCGTAAGATCTTCCATTTCCACTTGGAAGTAACTGCTTCACAGACTGAGACTGTTGAGGGATGGAAACTGGTGCGTTGCCACCTAGACCCAGTCTCATTGACTGACCAACGCCATAGCCCTGGCCTACAGATTTGACTCCGTAGTTGTTCTGCTGTAGGTGAACATTGGACATCATGTTGACTCCTGTAGAATTTAAGTTAGGCTTTGGTATTGAGAGTCGATTCACCATCTGCTGTGATGGTAAAGACCGGACGTTTCCAGAAGCGAGGGAACCAATTCTTGATTGGAGTCCCATGCCCTTCTTGTCTTGAGGTTTGGGAGCAATCAGCATCAAGGGTTTGGATCGGGGAACCACAACATTTGTGTGCCCAATCATGGCAGTGACCTGATAGCCTATGCGTTCATGGTCTTCAATGACATGCTGTACCAAAGCTTCGTAGGACTTTGGCATGAAAAGGCATCGCTTGCAGTGGATACTACTTTCTTCCCGGGCATTTGTGCCTAAGGGGACTGCACCATTGAGTGACTTTTCTCCTGCCTTTGCTATGTAAGGTGCTGCCACATGCTGAAAATGTTCCCTGTAAATGTGCTTCCTAACTATTTCATAAAGAGGATCTCGGTAAGTGCACTTCTTACAGTAATAAACAGCTTGCTCTACACTGTCAGCCTGCTTAGGTTTAAGGCCATCGCTTTTGCTTTTATCTTTGAAAGTGCTGAGGCTGCTACTTGGTGCGCTGGCGTTTGGAGCATGAAATATTTTAATGTGTGTTTCCAAAGTCTTTTTGTCTGCATTGAAGGTACAGTAGGGGCAATTAAGGAGAATCCTATTTTCAAAGTCTTCACTATGGACATTCCGGAAATGACTTTTGTAGGCAGAGAAAAATTTTGAAGAAAATGGGCAAGCACTGCAGCAAAAAGGTTTTGTCCGATAGTCCTAAAGAAAAGACAAAAACTGGAATCAGAATGCCACTTCAGATAAGCAGTAACAGGTTTTAGGCTATTTTCCCCCAGACAGTTGTTTTTTTTTTTTTTGCAGTACGTGGGCCTCTGACCATTGTAGCCTCTCCTGCTGCGGAGCAGAGGCTCCAGACACGCAGGCCCAGCGGCCATGGCTCACGGGCCCAGCCGCTCCACGGCATGTGGGATCCTCCCGGACCGGGGCACGAACCCGTGTCCCCTGCATCGGCAGGCGGACTCTCAACCACTGCACCACCAGGGAAGTCCCCCACCGACAGTCTTTAAGAGACATAATGCTATTTTTAGAACTGAAACTCTATAATGCACTGAGATTTGAGTATCATTTCTTCCTTTTGCAAAATAAATTGATAAAATATTCAAATGAGAAAGCTGTTTTAAACTAAACACTTGTTCTGGCATCACAGTGTAAATAAAAACTCCATTCAAAGTTCTTCCTCAGTGTTTTTAGAAAAGACCAGAGTCACATTTGCTCATTAGTTTTAGAGAAACCAAAGACAAATGGCTTCAAGATAAACATTTTAGTTAGAAAGGATAAGAATAAGCTAGGTGAAATCACTACAATTACTCTGTGAACTGGTAAGTTGCTGAAGGCTTCAGATTCACTATATAGTAAAACTCAGGGCCCAGAGTGCTGTAATGCAATTAGGCATATGATATAAAGACACACCTTTGATCCTCCCCATCATGGAAAAATTTTCATAGAGAAAAAGGCTCATCTTCAAAAATCTCAAACATTTCCCCCCCTCTGATCAAAGTAGAGTATAGTATTCAGTTTTCACTGAGATCAAAAAACTAATGATTTGAAAAGTCAGCTTTCTTCTACAAGCCATGCTGTTCCTTCTTAAGCAAGAGCAGCTTCAAAAGAAGTAATGAAGTGACAGCTGCTTTGATTCAAATTAAGAAATTAAATAAAAATTTCCTACACGTGAGCCATGGCAGCTGAGCTTGCGCGTCTGGAGCCTGTACTCCCCAACAGGAGAGGCCACAACAGTGAGAGGCCCGCATACCGCAAAAAAAAAAAAAAAATTTCCTACAGACTGTGAGAAAAGCAAGGTGTTAAAAAGCCAATAAAAAAGTAAAGCATTGCAGAATATACTGGTATCGAAGAGCAACTTACAGAACCATGCTCATTAACATCTGTGCAGTTGGTCCTTTGAAGATAGGTGAAACACAAGTTTGGTGAGAGGTGATCTTTTCCCCTAGTAAACCTAAGAAACCTACCTTGTTTCAGATACCAATTCGAACCAAAATGAAATACTCTGTTTTTCCTTAAAGCTCAACCCTTTTTTAGTATTTGTAAAACTGAATTAACTAAGTGATGTGTCCCACTGGAAAGCTTTCATATTTTAAGACTGCTGGTTAATACCCTTTCTTGGGGTATTTCTAAGAAAGAAACATGACTATATTATCAAATTTCTGAGGTGGATTTTAAAAGTACTGATTCCCTGCCAAGTATGTTCCAACAGATGAACAGATCAATAATCCAGAATTACTACAATCACTTGAAATAAACAGTGGTACAGTTTGAATTGATAATCACTTCTCCCTGTGGAAAAAAAATCACCTATAACTTCATTTTTGTTATATCATCACCTATTGATATTTGCCGGCATAGCTGGTGCCCTTGATTACCTAATACTGTTTTTAATTCCAATTTGTAAAAATTAAGCTGCACCACTCTGCCATCCTACAGAGCCATCTGTCCCATCCCCCATGTCCTGGCTTAGGCTACCCGGAGAGGTTGGGTGACAACACAGATGAGTAAGAAAACGTAAATGGAAGCAAGAGCCCTGTCTTCCCTTCTCTAGAAAAAACAAGGATTGCAACACAGAAAAATGATGGATACCCTAGATGAACAGAATGCTGGAGGGAACATTTTAGAATTAGAACCAAAAAACTTTTGACAGGGGTTAGGGGAGGAGAGGGGAATGCTGGTATACAGTGGGCTTCACAACTTTTAAGTAACAAACCTTCCTATTCTTCTTACACTTGAAGTTTCAGTACAATGACAAAAAAAAAGACCAAAAGTTCTTCCTAATTTTCCCTACCTCTTAGGAATATATGAAACAATCAGTTTCAACACTTCCCACGTTAGGTTGTTGCCTACAACAATGCAATACCATGAAAAATGTAGAACTGAAAAGGGAGGATGCTGCCTTTTGGGGAAGTCTCCTGTGCCACTTACCTGGTTTTTTGTAAGTGAAGGGTCCCACAGTCCTACATCCTCCCATGTAGTGTTTTTCAAATAAAAGTCATTAGGTTCAAACTGTTTAAAATCCTAGAAAACAGTGAAAGAAGTTTCAAAAACATTTTATCAACTCTAGCTCAACTTTACATATAAATCCTATCTCTAACTAGGGTTGGGGAGATGCATAGGAAAATCGACACCACCGAGAACTAAACTAGGATCGATAAAGCTCTAGGAAATACAAAAAGGCATATGGATGTTACACTGAACTTTTTATATCAACTAAACATTCCCCTAATGGTCACCAGGTTTCCAAAGAAACCACTGGAAGTTCTAACTAAGTAAGTAAAAAATTCAGCCACATATTAATACCAAAGCACCCTTCGTAAGAGTACTATATAACTCATCAGTTGTAATATTAGAATGGAGTGTAAGAGAGCAACATTCACTTATAGTGCTACAGATGAAATATTCTGGTTCTGTGCAAGAAAAGTCTTTTGTGGGAGATGGGGGTGGGGTGGGATTGGACTGGAACGAAAACTCAGGATTTCTGAACCCCAAAAGGAGGAAAGCTATTCAAAGAAAGCAAGTAGTATTATGTTAAATTTACACTCTTGTGTAAAAATTTGATCCCCTCCACCCTGAGACAGGAACATAAAGAGTTTTATGGTAAAATTCCTCTTGTTCCTAAAAGGGTCACAGTTCAGTGTGGAAAATCAAGTACACATATATTCCAGAGTATGTAGTGGGTGCAATAATGGGAGGAACAAATCAAATGCAGGATAGAAAAGGTACCTTTAACATTTGCATTATTTATTCTTGTGAAGATCACCCCACTGCATGGGAAGTAAATGGACTGTTTCATCAGGCAGATCTACCTGAAACTGAGGGACTGAACTGCCACACCAGGGACGACATAACTAGAGAAATCCAATTTTGAGAAGCTTCAGTCTTCATGATATACCCCTAAAGTAGGATTAACAGGAACCAGGAAAAGAAAACCTGTTGCATGAAGGAAATTGCTTTTTTACTTTCAACTCCATCCAAACATTTACTGAGTGCCTATTACGTGCCCAGCACTGTGCTAAGTGCTGAGGATACAAAGATGGACAAGGTAGTTAAGGTCCCTGGCCAGCTGGAACTTAAAAGGCTAGTGGGGAAAATAGCTTTAAACATTTCTTTCCAATCAGAGGTTGTTGATCAACTAACCACAAGACCTGGAGTAATGAGATCTAGAAGAGGAGACCACTACACTGGCTATCCCACAGGGCTGTTAATAAAGCTCACAGAATAAAAAGGCTAGAAAAACAGTTTGTGAAGTCCAAACTGTTACCTAGGGGAAGATAATAGTCTACGATGGGTCAAAAGGGCCAACAAATGCTCAAATCCCAAGGAAAGAGACAACAAGCACCCAAACCACCACGCCTCAACAATCAGAAGGTCAATCAGAACATTCAGGCATATCAGAATGAGAACAGGCTCTGGAGTCTCACAGACAGACCCTGCCACATGCTCAGCTGTGAGGTGGACCTATTTCTTTACTGGTTCTTCATCTGTAAATTGGAGATAAGAATTCCTATATCCCCTAGGGGTTGTTTTAAGGATTTGAATTTAGAGACCATTTTAAAGCACCTAGTAAAAAATGACTGATGTGGTACGTCCTCAGTGGTAACTGCTTTTGCTCCAGGATGCAAAGATGAAAAAGCCCATTTTAGGGAGAAGGGAACAAGTTAGGCTACTTGAGAAAGCTCAGGCAAAGCTAACGCTGCAGTTAAAATACAGAATCACCCCAAAGAATTAACGATCCTGGCCACTGACACAAAGTAATGGATCAGAAGCTGAGTCATGTTAAAATTAAAAAAATGACATGCTACTTACTTCTATGTGTTCTTTACAGTATTCCAACCCAATGTCACTAAGTATTTTTTTCACAGTTTTCCGGGCTTTTCTTAAACTGCCAAGATTGTTGACAGGAAGTTGGAACATAGTTTCTATTGGGAAAAAAAATTTAAGTCAAGTCAAAACATGTACAACTTGTGATATTTACTAATTCCACTGATGGTAGGATCACAAACCCTGGCCCAGTCTGACAAAAAAGGTGAATAGATATCCTTATCCAGCATGTTCTGAATACTTAGAGCAGGCAGGCAAAATAAGTACTCTCTGATCTTTTCTATTTTTAACAGGACATTTTATATCACAGGTAACATGAATCTAATGTGGCACAATTCTGATTAGACTTTTAAAAAACTAGTTCGGTGATGAGCTTACTTAAAGTTGAGAATGAGGTTTATATACCAACCGATTACTTCAAAATCAAGTGTGAGTGCTTTTCTCCTTGTGATGCTGAACCTCTGAAAACAGAAAAATGTTCACCATTTCAGCATCATTACCACATAATTTTGAGTGCCAGGGGAAATAAGTTTCTGTTGTCTGGGAGCTACCCTTCGTATTGCTGTGGTAACCATAAGTTTCTGCACACCACCCAAACGAAAGACAAGAATGGCTGTGTAACTTGCCCCCCAGCCAGCACCACACCTGGACAAAGGCACTCACTAATGCCACGGAATGAATGCTGAGACAGGGAAAGCTGGGCACTCAGCACCAGAGCAAATAATAACTGTTACAGACTTTGGGGGGGGTCCCTTTTGAAAAATGAAAAGCTTATGTGTGTATGAGGGAATTGAAAAATTATTTAAATGACCCAATACATTAAAGTAGAAATTTACACCCACTTTCCCAAGTTCCTTAAAAACAAAGGTTAAGAAAATAAAATTAATAAAACTTGGGCAGCTGAGAATTTGTATGGCTTCCAATGTGACCATAAATGTTTCCTACAAAATAGTGTAAAAACTAATCATCGACTTAATAATCCAAATAAATGTTGCAGGATATAAAGTAGTTCTAAAAATCAAAAACAGGCAGAAACAAAAGCCAATGCATCTGGATTTAAAATTTAGTATTCAATACATGAAAATCTGGTTTTCTAATTAATCAAGGCTGTCACTCTATAATACCACTACCATCTGTAAACCACAATCATAAAGTCAACTAATACACATGTAATAAGATATCATGTTACCTCACTTATTATTCAAATCCAAACATCAATATTAACTATGAAAAATGGAAAAAAAATGAAGCCTACCAAAATGTCCCAGCAACTTCTAGAAATTCTAAATCTCAATATGTTACCAGAACTTAGTATACCTGAGGCCAAAAGATGAATGCGGTTCACTGCAAAACACATCCTCAGGATGGAACTCCTAGTTATGAAGCATGACTATGGTGTCCTCTGCACTCTGCCATCTAATAATCTGTGTATCATTTAGCTAACAGACTTAGAAGTCAGTTCTGATACAAATTAGTGTGCGTTCAAGGCCAAATCCATTATTCCTTGTGGAAATTTTATTCCTAAATTGTTCTGAACCATCTTTTTGATGGTTTAAAAAAAAATCAGTTGCTTAATAAACTGATTAAAAAGAAAAATCTAGGTTCGCACAAACTAGGTCATTTAGAGAGAACCACCTGATAGAAAAATGTTTCAGAAATACAAGAAAAGTGTTCCAGAAATACAGGAAGTGTTACAGGCTAATTCTGAAGAGACCAGGCATCAAAATGAATGTCCATAAACACCCAATTCTGAAAAGAGACATTTTGTTTCTCCATTCATTTTATCAACTCTCCACGGGCCAAAATCCAGTTCTTCTGGAACATCCCATGTGAATCCTGTTTCACTTCAGAGCACAGACATACCCCAGAGGCAGCCCTTTCTGGCTTTCCCTGCCTCCTGGATGAGCACAGCAAAACACACACACACAGATTTGGAAATGCCGCCTCCCCCCCCCCCTACAGAAAACATCCTAGGGAGCCAAACTGCAGCTCAGGATAAAGGAAAACCCAGTTTCCTATGGAAAATACCAGGTGTTCTAAGTGCCCACCCACAGCTAACAAAGTTGTTTCAAGACCTCCAAGTGAAGCACCTCGCTGCTTCGTTGTACCCAATTTATCCACCTACAGTTCTGAAAAAGTAAGAATATGCTCTAAGGGAGCTTAGTTACAAAAAACTTATTTATAGAAGGTGATATTTCAGCAATAGAATAAATCTTGAGTTTACTTATTTGAGTTGAATTAAACAGGTTTATAAATAAAAGTTACATTGCTTATTGGAAAATGCTACAAAAAAGTTATTTGTTCTATGATTAGCTAGGAGGAATCCAAGTTAAAGTTTACATCGGGACTTCCCTGGCAGTCCAGTAGTTAAGAATCCACGTTTCTGCTGCAGGGGGTGCGGGTTCGATCCCTGGTCGGGGAACTAAGATCCCGCATGCCGTGCAGTGCGGCCAAGAAAAAAAGAGAGAAAAAGTTTACATTGAAAAATGTAGAATATTCTGAATTAAGGTTATAACCGTCTTCATAAGCAGATTTCTGACATTTCTAATGACCTTGGGAATTCTATCATCTGCCCCTTTCCCCAGATGGAGGTACCCTCTGCGGAGGCCATTTCCAAGATTTTGTCCATCTGGAGCTAGAATAACACATTCATATGTGTTGGCATCCTCAAAAGCACTTAGAGATTCTTCTGGTTTTTCGCTTATTAAATAAAACACTTCTCGCAGTATATAAAGCAGGTATGTAGTATAGGAATATAATAAGCAAAGAAGGCTCCCTCCTACTCCCATCCTCCATTTCCTGTGTCTATTTCTTAAGCTTTTCTATGCCTGTAACAAGCCAAACGTTCCTTGTAAGAAAGTCTCCAACAAATTCTTACCAGTTAATGTTAGAATCATGGGTGATAAGAAAAAGAACTCAAGGGCCCTATGTTGTTGTTGTTTTTTTTCAGCCCATCACCTGCTGTTAAGAAACAACTTCAAATCAACAGCTGCCTTCAGGGTTCATTGATGTTATCTATCTGATTCTTGGGGCCCATACCTTTCTATTTACTCTGTTAACTGAGGGGTAAGGACAGAGTAAACAGGAAGTGGACTGCCTGAGATTAAGGGGTGTTCCTCACTTTTGAATAGGAAGAGATGAAAACAAATTCTTACAATCATTACTCTTAGGGAGGAAAATGTCTTACAATAATGTCAGAAACTGTCTAGAGATGGGCATTGAAAGGAATGCAGAAGGGTGGGGTTACTTTCCACTTTTGTCCCCAGTGGCTAAACCTTTCTCTTGAGCCTCCCTGGCTATCAGGATGGCCATTTTGATGAGGTCAGCACCATTTCCCAATACCAAGGAGAGCTCCCTTCAGCCAAACCATAAACTTCTCAGCTCATGGCATAAAAAAGGGAAAAACATCCAAATTAATAGAATGAAACCACTGTTCATCAATCATTTTTGGAGCACCCTGCCCATTAATGTGCTAGAAACAGAAAGCTGAACAGGACACAGCTCTTCCCCTTCAACAGCCCATCGCTTCTGGGGTATACAGCAGGCACTGGGTCACTGGAGTAAAGATGCTTGCTTCTCCCTGCCCAACTTCCTCTTGGAGCCACTCCTGCCGCAGTGGAGGTGCTGTCAGTTAAGAGGCCCTTCCTCCACCGCGCATACGACACAGGTTAACCAATTAGTGTTCTATCTCTGCAGACACTGGTTAGTACAAACCTGGACATGTGCCCCAAACAGGGCGGACAGTGACGATGCGAAAAGCACAGAAAGGGAAACACTCCTGTTGATACTGCTTAAGGTCCTCAATCTAGCTGTGCCTGAAAGATAGCCCCCTTGAACCATCCCTCCCCCCAGCTTTTCATGAACAAGAACAAAAACACATGATCATTTTTGCTTAAGTTTTGGTTCATGTTACTTGCAACCAAAAGTTCTGGTAGACCCACTGGGTAGTGGGACAGAGAAGAAGTGAAGTGAATAAGTAAGGGAAGATGGGGAATTTTATGAAAAATAATTATTCTTGTGAATTGGGACTAATAGGAAGAATAGGAATTTGTCAGGGAGATACAGTTATTCTGAAAGAGGCGTTGGCCCATCGTTTCATTAATCAAAAACACTGTATGGAAAGAGTAAAACATTTCGTAAATTCTAAAAGATTTTGGGGAAAGCTCAAACCCATTAATAATGGAGTTAACGTCTGCGATTTATTAACTGAAGTTAAGTAACTTTTGGTTAAGCATATGCTGCCTGATGAACTAGACTTAAATTATTGATTTTTGAGAATGATTTAAATTCACTGTTGAATAATTCAGCCACACTCCTTATCAATCTGCAAATTATACCCACACCTACTAATTAGGGCCAAAACATTAAAGTTTTACCAATAATCCCGGCCAAATTCCCACTCAGAAAGCAATTCCTTCCTCAGAAAGCAAGAGTCAGATGGCTGAAATGAAAATCTGAGATCTGTAGCCATGATGACTTAAAACCATATAAATTATAACAATACATAAGACCGATCAAATAACATGTACCTCTTTTCTCACCAAATACGAAAAGCAAAAGTACTCCTTTACACCAAGTACAAAGAGGGTAAATAAAGGCCGAGAGAACCTATCTCACGAGGAAATATCTACAGGCCGAATCTGTATAAGAGGACTGTACAAGGATGATGATACAACATCAATGACTGTGAACTTCATTTAGGCAAAGAGGTCATTAACTGAGAAACGTAATTATAATCATTTATGAAACCAGAGCTCTGCCAGAAAAAAAGGCTTGGATCTAGTCAGGGGCTGTACTCAGGCTCATCTGGGTCAGGAAGATGGAGGGGAACCCAACAGATGAGAGGACTAGTTTAGCAGGCTTAAGGCAAGATTTGCAGGACCTAATGTACCAATAGTCAATGGGGCTTGTCTGTGTATCGCAGTCCCTCTGCAAAGCCACCATATCAAGGATGGCATCATTTAGTCCCTGTTTTTAGGGGCAGAAGAAAAGTATTTATAACTGTGCCATCAGAAAGTAAAAACAAAACAACAAAAATAACCCCCATAAAACCCAATCAAACCTTTGACTAGGCACAGATAATCAAGCCAGGAGAAAA